GTGTGTGTGTGTGTGTGGCACAGCAGGAGGCCCAGGCCCTCCTGTGGAGGATGCACCCTCGTGACCACAGCCCCTCCATCTTTCAGCAAAGGCTTCTGCTAGCTTCTTCCAGCCTTCCCTGATCTTACTGGGTCCATTTGAGTAACTGTTTAAACAAAATTCCAAACTTCAGCTCTTCTGTGGCCCAGCTGAGGCTCCAGACTGGACCCACCGGGAATGTTGTTGTTGTTGTTAAGTGGTATCGAGTTTGTTCAGACCCATAGCCTCCATGTATAGGGTTTCCAAGGAGTGGCTGGTGAGCTTGAAACGCCGATCTTGCAGTTCAAACAACTTTGTAGTCCAGCGTACTAACCCGCAGCGCCACACCAAGACTCCACTATAGTCTTGGTGTGGCACTGTGGATTAATGCACTGGACTGCAAGGTCGGCGGTTCATATCCACCAGCCGCTCCTTAGAAACCCTATATAGGGTCACTATGAGTCAGAACTGACTTGGTGGCACTTAACAACAAATATTTTTTGGCAGATTCTAGGTTGGTTCTTACCTCATGATGCCCTTCCTCTCTAGGAATGCCCCCAAAAGCACCCTTGAAGGCCCAACTCAAAATTTGTTTTAACAGTAACAACAATTGTAGCTACCATCAATGGAACACTTACTATTTGCCAGGCACCCTGCGAAATGCTCTCATTCTATCCTTGTAACAACCCAGCGAGGGCCAAGTTATTAGTATCGTCACTGTGCAGATGAAGTACAGTTTAGAGAAATCAAGAGACTTACCCAAGGTCACAGCTGTGAAATGTCAGGGGCAGGATTGAAACTCAGGCCTGTCAAGACATGGAGTCTGAACTCTTCCCCACTGGACTGCACTTTGTATCTGGGTGCCTGTTGTTCTGGCTTCTCATCCTCCATCACGATGCTGTTGTTGTTGTTGCTGTTGTTAAGTGCCATCGAGCTGGTTCCAACCCACAGCGACCCTGTATAGGGTTTCCAAGGAGCAGCTGGTGAGTTTAAACTGCTGACTTTGCCGACCTAGCATATGGTCAAGTGTTTATCCTTGTTTTTGTTAAATACCATTGAGTCGGTTCCAACCCATAGCAACCCTGTATAGGGTTTCCAAGGAGTGGTTGGTGAGCTTGAACTGCTGACTTTGCATTTTAAACTGACTTTGCAATCCAGCACATTAACCCACAGCACTACACCTGTAATACAGCTGGTGTGATTCAATGCATCAGATATCTAGTGAGTGCCTGGTGCCCTGTTCACAGCCTGAGGACTTCTGTAGTCCAGCAAAACATGATGCCTGAAATATGCCTAAGGTAGAACATTCCCTTCCAGATTTTAGATCCTCACTGAGAACTCTAGTTTAAACGTGGGCTTGGTAAGCTAGGGTGCAGATGGTTTGAGGCTGTCAGGACAAGACTGAGGCAAGCACAGGCCCTGGTCCATGACCTGCTGGCTGGGGGGCCCTTCCCCCACTCCCTCAGCTGTGGCACTCTTCTCATTCCCTGCAGGGAGCAGCATGTGTATAGGAGTCAGACAAACTTGGGATGAATTCTGTTTGACTTTGAGCAAATGATTTAGCTAAATTCCCCCACCCACAAATTGAGGATGAAATTAGTGCCTCACCACAGGGTGCTTGGGAGCATTGAATGAAACTATGCATATGAAGGACTTAACACAATGTCTGGCATTCAGTAAGTGCATGCTAAGTGACAGCTTCCAGGAATCATGGTGTCCAGGGGCCAAACACTTGGGGCCTAGCACATAGAATTACTCACTATGCAGATAGACGCTCCCCACCCCTGGCCATCTATGCCTTTCCTTGGTGCTTCAGTAAAGGCTCTCATGTGGAAGGTCCCTAGGTGTTGGCCTTCATCAACAATGGGGCTGCTGGGAAAGTAGGGACTGACACAGAGATCTGTATTCACTCACCTTGCCCCTCATTCTCAGCCCTGAGCTCATTGCTCAGGAAAATGTTGGCTCTTTAGGGATGTTTGGTTTTCTGCTGGCGCCACCTGGTGGCGAGTACAGCAACCTCCTGGTGAGGTCTACAGCGAGGGCTCTGCTGCTCTGAGCAGGACCACCCCATTCATGTGTCCAGATTCAAGGTCCTCAGCCTCACTCCTAGAGGCCAAGTCAGAGTGGATGATGGGTTCAAAACTTTGACTTTTCAGTTAGCAACTGACCTCCTAACCACAGTGCCATCAGGGCTCCCTCTGAGATGATCCAGGGTTGGAAAATCCAGTGATGGCTGTCTAGTCCAGGCCTGACTCCTCACAGCACCTGCCCGGGAACCTCATAGCTTTCCAAATTCAAGGTCTGGGGCACTCAAAACTGGTCCTGTCTCTGGGCCCAGCAAAAACCAAAGCTGTTTGCGTAAAGTTTTGGGAAACAGCAGTGAATTGAGAATTAGGAGACTGAGCTCTGATTCCAGCTCTGGCACGAATATGGTGTGTGAACCGGGTCAGGACCCCTTCCTCTCTGGGCTTTAGTCTGGCCATGGTTGAATGGAGGGTGACTGGGTTAGGTCACGGGTGAAGTTCTCAGTTCTAGGAGCTTCTAGCTCTGAGTGTGAGTTCTTATTACAATGCAGATCCCTGGGCCCACCAAGTCAGTATCTCCTGGGCTGGGACTGGAACCTACATGGACACTCACCGAAGCTGGGTGTTAAGACGCTGGTAAGTCCTGGATTTGGGGAATAGAAGTGTACAAGAGGGCTTCGAAAAGTTTGTGGGAAAATGAAATGAAAAAATAATGGAATTTTCCCATAAACATTTTGAAGTATGTGTATTGCCAGCAGGTAAGGAGAAAGTGGTGGTTTCAGGGAAATGGATGATTTTACCTCCACCCTAATGCCTGTCTTTTAATTTTCTCATGCTTTTGCAGATGTGGGTAGAGGTCACTCCAGTTGCTTGTCTGTCAGACCCCACAGGCAGCAGCAGATAGGTAGCAAGAAGCTTGCATAAAATAAAGCTAGACTGCCCCCATCTTTCCCCCCTCATAATGGTTGCTTCATTTGTTCAAAAGACAGTGGTGGTGTGGCTGGGACTGTCTGGGGTGGAGGGTGGGGGCCCTTGTTGCCTGAGGAGGTATTTTCAGAGGCCCCCTCCCTCTGGAGTTTCCACCGATAGAATAGAGCCCTGTCTAGTATTTGACCAAATATGGTGGTATGTCTCAGAGCTCCCGACCCAGCCAACTTCTCAGTTATGCTGTGGAAACCTGCCCCGGACAGATTAATCTTGTGACATTCAGGACTGCCTCTCCCGCCTTCTTCCCCTCAGCCCATTCCTGTAAATGGCCAAGAGTGGCCCTCAGTAAGATGGTGTCGGACTGTGTGTCTGCCTCTAGTGCCCCTCCTCTGTCCTCTTCTGCACTCCCGCCCACCCCTGTATTGATTCCATCTCTCACGCTTACCAGGCTGCTCTGTTGAGGTGAGAAACCTTGGTCAGAGAGCTGGTCAGTGCAGTATGCGATTCCAGGATCCGTGTTCTGCACTGAGGCTGTGAAGCCTAGACTGTCCCAGGAGGTAGGCCCAATGGGGTAAAGGAGAGTTGGCTAAGTGGTGAGAACCAGTCTAGGTCTAATTTGAATGAGAGCAGTTGATATTTATTGGGAGCTTATCGGGTGAAACAAAGGTTTAAGCAATGCACTATTCACTGGAAACTTGGGGTTTCAAACCCATCTGATTTCTCAGAAGAAAAATCTGGCCATCACCACTTTGAAGACCCCATGGAGCAGAGTTCTCCTCTGAAGCACCTGAGGGTTGTCCTGAGTCAGAACAGACTTGATAACAATTGGTGTGGTTTAGTCCTTTCATGTTTATTGGGCACTTACTATGTGCCAGGCAATGTGTCAACAATTGTTGTTAAGTGCCGTCCAATTGTTTCCGATTCATAGTGAACATATTTAGGGTTTCCAAGGAGTGATTGGTGGGTTTGAACCATCAACCTTGGGGTTATCAGTCCAGTACTTATCCTATAGTATCACACCAGAAGTCTGTGCCAACTTTTAACCTGGGTTGTATCCTTTGTTCCTCCAATGGCTTCAAGAGGTAGATGCTAGGATTAGCCCCATTCTAGAGATGTGGGAACTGAGACTCAGAAAGATGTCTGGGAGAAGTGGACCTGGCCACTCACTACCTGTTCCTAGGTATGACCTACATTTTACAGAGAAATAAACTGAGGCTGACACACAAGGGCAGGTGCTTGATGGCTAGCACTGGATCAGGAGGGTCAGAAAAATGGGTCATGAAGTCCTCACCCATCAACAACTTGACCGATGTGAGAACATGAGGATTCAGAAACATGTTCACAGCAGGCTAGATTTGGGTAGAAAAAATTCCAAGAAAAACAGGATGGTGGGTGGTGGCTAGAGTTCTGGACAGGTACAAATCTCAGCTCTATCACCTTTAACTTGCTCTGTCATTCTGAACAAGTGCCTTCCCTGCTTACACAGGCCTCAGTTTCCTTGTCTGTGAACTGAGGCGGTGGACTCTGGTCTCCGAGGGTCACTGGGATCCCTGCGGTTGTCTGAGACTGGAATGTCTGAGGCTGCTTCCTGGGAGTTGGGCCCCTGACTTGGTGCTGGCCAGCACACTCAGAGAACATTTGCTCTCCTGACCAACCGTCAGCTTGTCCCCCCTCCACCCTCACCCCCTTGCCATCCCCAAAGCAAACGAAGCTGATTGTCTTAGCTGGCCCTGTGGGTGCTGGATGGGCGGGCGGCCGCAGGCCACAGGCAGAGGTGCCACCCGCCACAGCCCCACCAGACACACAGGGCATTGTCCCTCGGTCAACAGCCCCTGGGCACCTCAGCCCGGCTCCTGGCCTGCCCCCACACCCTTCACCGCCTGCCTCTGAGCCAGGCCCTGCCAGCTGGGGGCCAAGGGCTCTCAGTAGAGGACGAGCCCACCCACCCACTCCCCCAGCAGCCCCCTGTCGAGCTATAATTGCTTCACTCCATCCTGTTGCTGCCATTCTCCCAGCGGCAGCGGCGGCATCTGGGGTTCCAGACAGGCGGCAGCTGCAGGCTGACTGGCCGCCTCGCTTAGGGGGATGGACTGGCCACACAACCTGGTACGTGGCGCTTCCCCACCCCCCACCCCACCCTTTCTGAGGGCCTGAGTGTTTTGTTATTTCTTTCATATTGATTAATGGCGGCCTCTGTTTGGCCTGGATTCTGCCGGGGTGAGTTCTCCCCCTGTCCTCTTCCCAGGACCAGGAAGAAACAGATAGCCTCAGAGCCTACAGACATGTCTCCTGACCTGGGTCCAGCCGTCCACACGGAGCCCTCTCTGTGAGACCAGAGGTATTTGGGGAGGTCCTGGTAGACCAGTCATTGGGGTTTTTCCTGAGTCCTGGGTCCTAGGAGCTGGGCTGTGTGACCTTGGGCAAGTCCTTCAGTTTCTCCATCCCTTGTCTACAAAGTGAGGAAGGGGTACTTACTCTAGTCTGGGTTTCTCAGAGTGGAGAGCCAGAGATTAAGAATGGCACATGAGCATCTCAGAAGAGAAAGCCCATTGCTATCGAGACATTTTTGTGCACCAGAATCTAGGACCAAAAAGGAAGAATTCAGTGACTTAAATAAATCGCTGTCACTGACTTTGTGCCAGGAGGTGGCTCTGCCAAGAGAGGCCATGCTGGAACTTGCTTCCAAGGGTTAAGACCTGCTGGGGAACCCAGATAAATCAGACACTGGCCATGCCAGGCAGTGGGCTGAGGGATGCAGTGCAGGTATGGAGCCTGGCTAGATTTCATGAGGTGATTAAGCTCACTTTGAGCTTCCCCTGTTCTGGCCAGCTCTGGCATTTCTCTCCCAGCTTCCTGAGGAGCCTGGGGCCTTCTGGGCCCTCTAGTCACCCTGTGGGAGCTAAGGGCTTATCTGAGGCTCCAGGTAAGGAGGAAGCTTCCCCACACTCCTTGTGGGGAAGGAGAAGCAGGATGCCAGCCTGTGAGAAATGACTGGGGGAGGGAAACAGAAGACAGGTGTCATGGAGGTGAGTCTAAGAGGGAGCCTGCAGACCCGTGACCTGCCCACCTCCCCAACTTCATCTCATGCCACTTCTCCCACCCACTTATAGTTCTGCCACACTTGCTCTCTTTCAGCAAGCTCTTCACAATCTCCAGCCTCCTTGTTCACTGTTCCTCTGCCTCTTTCAGACTCACTCTGCCCACATCTTCCTCCTTCTCATTCTTCCAACCTTCCCCAACATGCCTCTCCTCAGAGTGCCTTTCCTGGACCATTCTACTTGCTCTAGACGAGGCCAGGGGCTACTGTGATCTCTTAACTACACCCCTGCACACTTTCCCAGTTGCACACGCCACTAGTGAGAGTTCTGTGCTTGTTTTATTGTTGGGTCTGTTTTCCCAGCCAGACTGTAAGTCAAAAGATCAGCCATGGTGACTGTCATCCAGTCACTCAGCAAATGTTTACTCAATATCTAAGTTCCTGGGACCATGAAGACAACCCTTTGTGTCCCTTCCTGCCCTGCATAAAATCCCACAAACACAAGACATTGCCGTCAAATCAATTTCAACCATAAAGACTTTATAGCACAGAGCAGAACTGTCCCATAGGGATTCCAAGATGGTAATCTTTTCCCCTGCAGACCCACTGATAGGTTTCAACCTCCAGCCTTTCAGTTAGCAGTTAAGTGCTTAACCACTGCACCAACAGGGCTCCTACCAGCTAGACAGTGTGTGGAAACCAACGCAGTGCCAGCCCTTGTGGAGTCTGTGGCTTAGTTGGGGACGGACAGAGAAAATACTCACACACAGAAACTGTAATACAGTAGTCATGCCAGAGAGGCATGTGGTGTTGAGAGCCTAAGAAAGCCCACAAAGACGTCTCTAAGGAAGTACCACCAGATCTGAGATGTGAGGAGTGAGAAGGCATTTACAGGTAAGAAGAGCAGGCAGAATTCTGTAGGCAAAGGCATGTGCAAAGTCCCTGTGGCTGGAAGGAGTAAGGGATAGAGAAAAGGCTAGAGGCTGAAAGCATGGGTGTGAGAGGAACCAGGGAGTGAGGTGAGGAGGGAGAGCTCAGCAGCAGTTAGACCACATAGTCTTGGAGCCCTGGGTAGGGAGGTTATTGTCATTTGAAGGGCCGTGGGAAATCAGTGAAGGGTGTTAAGCAGAAAGGTGACATTATCAAATTTTCATTTTAAATAGCTGTCCTCAGTGGCACTATGGGCAATGCATCAGATTGCAAATTTGTTTGTACTGCAAAGTTGGTGGTTCAAGCTCACCAACTGCTCCTTGGAAACCCTATACAGTGTCAGAATCGACTCAATGGCACTTAACCAGAGCCGGAGGAGCCCTGGTGGCAATGTAGGATAAGCACTGGACTTTTAACCACAAGGTTGGTAGTTCAAACCAACCAGGAGCTCCAAGGGAGACAGATGAGGTCTACTTCCGTAAAAATGTACAGTCTCAGAAATCCTATATAGAGTCGCTACGAATCAGACTTGATGGCAATGGGTAATCATCAATCCTTGGCCATGGTGTGGAGGACTGATTGCAATGAACTAGAGTGGACTTAGACCAGCTAGGAGGCTGTTGAACTGTTGAGGTAAGTGAGGATATTAGAGCATATGGAGAGAAGTGGATGGGTAAAGATTTGGGGAGGAAAGGATGTAGTGCCTACTCCCACAAAGATTACATCTTAGTGATGAGTTGGATATGAAGGAAGACAGAGGATGATTTGACTGCTGTTTCCCTGGTGCATAGTTAAGTGTTGATATACATGGATTGTGGCCCAGTAGGTCCTGGCCAGGGAATGGCAGGTGAGGGTGCTCAACACAGAGACCTTTCTTCTTCCCTCTCACCACCCTGGACCCTGAGTCTTGGTTGAGAAAGCCCTAGTTCTCCCACCTATAACCTGTAGTCTTCTTCCACAGCTGTTTATTCTTATCATCTCCATCTTCCTGGGGCTGGGCCAGCTCCGAAACCCCAAAGGCAAGAGGAAGGGGCAAGGGCGACCAGGGACCCTGGCCACTGGACCTCACCAGGCACCACTGGACCTGGTGTCATGGACAAAACCGTACATCCGCATGGAGGAGTATGAGAGGAACCTCGGGGAGATGGTGGTGCAGCTGAGAAACAGCTCCGAGTCAACCAGGAAGAAGTGTGAGGTCAACCTGCAGCTGTGGTTGTCCAACAAGAGGAGCCTGTCACCCTGGGGCTACAGGTAGGCTGGACTGGGCAGCAGGGAGCTGGACAAGGTGGCTTTTTCCCTTGGCAGCGGGGCACCTTACTCATAGTTCTAGCCATTGTAATGGTTAAAATCTTGGATTCAGAATTCGAGTGGCTGCTTTGAATCCTGACTCTGCCTTTTACCAGTTGTGTGGCTTTGGGTAAGTCACTTGACCTCTCTGAGCCTAAAATGTAAAAAGAGGTGATAGTAGTAGCTACTTCATGGGCCTGTTGTTAAATGAAATCTGCATGCAGAGCAGTGACATTTTCACTCCAAGTTCCAGATGAAGGGTCTGCAAGGTCTTTCCCAAGTGCCACATCCTCCTGTTCTCATGGTGTTGTGTTCACACTTGTTACAGTCCTTCCTTAGAGAATTGAGTTGAATGTGCCCATGTTTGTCTTTCACACTAGACTGGTCCTTTCCCCACACCTACATCAGAATCACCTAAGGGCAGAGGCCCCCAAAGCACATCACCTAGAGTTTGAGAATCAAGACACTGCCCCTAGATGTTGGGAATGGTATTGTATAGAGAATGATGCTTGGTACAGAGAAGGAGCAAATGCTTATGTGTTGAAGAAATGGAGTGACCCTAAAGGGTCCTCACCCACAAACCAGGCCAGAGATTTCTTAGTCACACAAGTTGTTTTCTGAGACTTTAATAGCACTTTCTGGGGTGATGGAGTGTTCAACATGTTAGTCACTGTGGGTACAGAGTGCTTCAGACATGGCTAGTTTGACTGAGGAACTCATTTTGATAAATTTGAATTTGAATAGCTACATGTGGCTTTGTTGTTGTTGTTAATGTTAAGTGCCTTCGAGTTGTTTTTGACTCATAGTGATCCTGTATAGGGTTTCCGAGGAGGGGCTGGTGAGTTTGAACCACTGACCTTGTGGTTCAAACCGACCTTGCAGTCCTACTCTTATCCTACAGCACCACACCAGAAGTCCTACATGTGATTGCTGTTGTTGTTGTTAAGTGTTGAATCCGTTCTGACTCATAGCGACTCTGTATAGGGTTTCTGGGGAGCAGCTGGTCAGCTTGAACCGCCAACCTTGAGGTTCAAACTGACCTTGCAGTCCAGCAAATTAACACACAGCGCCACACCAGGACTCCTACAGTAGGCTTGTTGTTGTTGTTGTTATGTGCCGTAGAGTTGGTTCAGACTCATAGCGACCCTGCATAGGGTTTCCGAGGCTGTAAATATTTACGGGAGCAGAAAGCCTCATCTTTCTCCCGCGGAACCGCTGGTAGTTTTGAACTGCTGTCCCTGAGGTTAGCAGCCTGATTCATAACCACTACACTACGGAGGCTATAGTGTCTACTTATTGAACAGCATGGCTCTAGAATGTGACAGTCAGAAGGACCATAAAGATGCTCCAAGGAGCTCTGCTGGCACAGTGATTAAGTACTCGGCAGCTAACTGAAAGTTTGGTGGTTCGAATCCACCAGCCAATCTATGGGAAAAAGAAGTAACAGTCTGCTTCTGTAAAGATTGTTGTTGTTAAATACCGTAGAGTCTATTTGGACTCATAGTGACACTGTACAGGGTTTCTGAGGCTGCAAATCGTATGGGAGCAGAAAGCCTCACCTTTCTCCCACGGAACAGCTGATAGTTTCAAACTGCCAACCTTAAGGTTATCAGCCCGATTTGTAACCACTACACTATGAGAGCTACAGCCTTGGAAATCCTGTCCTATTCTGTCTCATATATGAGCCATTGTATGAGTCATATCAGCTTGACGGCAAGGGGTTTGAGGTTTTAAAGATTCTCTAGAACTAGACCTCTTACTCTTGATGGTGCCCAACCTGTTGTTTTTTTGTTCAGTTCCATTGAGTTGGTTCTGACTCATAGCAACCCTGTTTAGGGTTTCTGAGCAGTGGCTGGTGAGTTTGACCACTGACCCTGTGGTTAGCAATCCAGTGCTTATCCTACAGCACCACATCAGGACTCCTATGGGCCACCTAGGGAGTTTGCAATAATGCAGAGTCTGCATTTCTAACAAGCTTCCAGGTGCTGCTACTGCTGCTGCAGGTCCTGACACCCACACAGTTTGCAGGTAACAAAGCTGAAGCTTTAGAGAGAAGGAATGTTCACCAAGGAAGCCCCTGTACGTTTAGCTCCTCCTAGAGGGCATTGGGAAGGAACTTGTCTGTTTTATTCATCAGTGAAAACCTGATGCCAAGGGCAGAATCACTCACATGTAGGTGTATAAAACATACTTGTTCAATGATTGGAGACTGAATTAAAATATGAGGGGGCTTCAAAGAGTTGTTCAAAAAATGCCACTATCTTTCAATTCTATTTTCCATCAACTTTTTGAAGCCTGACTTCTTTTCCAGTAGCAACCAGGCATCAGCGTGAGTACAGATTATTTCCCATGGAGTCAATTTTTCAAGAATATATACAAGTGAGAGGTTAGGGCAGGCAAAGTGAGGCCTTCCTTGTCTGTGATCCCCACAGCACAACCCAGCACTAGGATGGATCTTCTGCTGGATGAGAAAGGAACCAAAACCAAACCCCTTGCCTTGGAGTCTGCTCTCACTCATGACAGCCATATATTACACAGTAGAACTGCTCCAATCTTGACAAAAGCATTTCTTCCACAGCCCCTGCTGGGTGGCTTCCAATGGCCAACTTTTAGTTCATTCCAGTGTGACTCCCTGGTGAGAATTTGCATTTCCACACTGGATATTCTGAGTAAGAATCTACATTTTAAGATCCCCAGGTGTTTGCTCTGGATCCCCTAGTGAAAACTTTCCGGCACCACCCAAGGACTTAGATGAAAAAGGAGGCTGGATAAATATTGGTTGGTCAGCACAGAATGATCTTGAACCTGAATAATCAATCATGCGGTTGTCTTTCATGACCTTCAATTTTTCACTACAACAAGGGGATTATTACTGCTCTTCTTCTGGTACTGCACAGCCCTGCATTAATAAACCCCCCAAATTTCATTGCCCTTCAGGTTCCAACTCCTAGGATAAAGTAGAACTGCCCCATAGTGTTTCAAGGTTTCCAGTTTTTCAGGGGTTCCAAGGCTGTGTACTCTTTGTAAGGAATCCTGGTGTGACGCTGTAGGATAAGCACTGGACTGCTAACAGAAAGGTCATAGTTCAAATTCACCAGCTGCTTCTCAGAAACCCTATACAGGGTCGCAATGAAATGGAATCGACGCCACTGCACTTCACAACAACACTCATTACCGAAACAGACTTCACATTTTTCTCCTGGGAGCCGCTGGTGACCTTTCTGTTAGCAGCTGAGCCCTTAACCACTGTGCCCTTGTAAAGTTTCGACTCATAGTGAACCTGTATTGTTATTGTTGTGAAGTGCTGTCGAGTCGGTTCCGACCCATAGAGACCCTGTATAGGGTTTCCGAAGAGCCGCTGATGAACTTGAACCGCCAACCTTGCAGTTCAAACGGCTTTGCAGTTTGGCGCATTAACCCACAGCGCCAATAGCGAACCTGTATAAACCTGTGTAAAGTGCAGTTCTAAAGTATCGACTCCTAGCGACCTGTATAGGGTTCTCAAGGAGTGGCTGGTGAGTTTGAACCGTCTACCTTGCGGTTCAAACTGACCCTGAGGTCCAGTGTTTATTCTATAGCGCCACACTGGGACTCCAAACTCCACTTAGTCACAAAGAAAAGAAGAGAAAAAAGCCATCTTAGCAAAGAGAAAGGGGGCGGGAAGTGGGTGCTTGTTCGCTCTTTTCTGATCCATTTAAGCGCGCGCTCTCTCATGCATCCTTGTAGTATCAATCACGACCCCAGCCGCATCCCTGTGGACCTGCCGGAGGCACGATGCCTATGCCTGGGCTGCGTGAACCCTTTCACAATGCAGGAAGACCGCAGCATGGTGAGCGTGCCCGTGTTCAGCCAAGTGCCGGTCCGCCGCCGCCTCTGCCCGCCACCACCGCGCACCGGGCCCTGCCGCCAGCGCGCTGTCATGGAGACGATCGCAGTGGGCTGCACTTGCATCTTCTGAACCCGGCCAAGCGGCCCGGTCCACCCGCAGGCCCAGATGCAGAAGGCATTTCCACCCCCACCCCTCAACCCCTCTCGCCCCCTTCCCCCGCTCCAGTCCCCCGCAGCCACGTGGGCCAATCAAGACCCATGAAAAGTAAAGGCTATCTTTTGTAAAGCAAACACTCCATTTGTTCCTTATGACTCCAAAGCCAAGACCAAGGTGGGGTGGGTGGTTCCAAGGAGGAAGGTTTCACATCTACACAAGGGAGGCTTTCTAGTACTCATAGTATTCCAACAGTAATGTTGTTGTTAGGTGTCATCGAGTCGGTACCGACTGATAGCAATGTCCTGTAGAACAGAAGGAAACACTGCCTGGTCCTGGGCCAACCTCACAACTGTTGCCATGCTTGAGCCCACTGATGCTGCCACTTGGCCAATCCATCTCGCTGGGTGTCTTCCTCTTTTTCTTTGACCTCCACCTTACCAAACATGATATCCTTCTCCAGCAACTGGTCCCTCCTGACAATATGTCCGAAGTATGAGAGACAAAGTCTGGCCATCCTGACCTTCAAGGAGCACTCTACTCTGATTGCACTTCTTCCAACACAGATCTGTTTGTTCTTTTGGCAGCCCATGGCACTTTCAATATTCTCTTTCAACACCATAACTCAAAAGCAACAATTCTGCTATGGTCTTCCTTAGTCACTGTCCAGATTTCACATGCATATAATAAGGTTATTGAAAATACCATGGCTTGGGTCAGGCACATCTTAGTTCTCAAACTGAGACCCTAAACAGGTCTTGTGCAGCAGATTTGCCTAATGCAGTATGTCATTTGATTTCTTGACTGCTGCTTCCATGAGTGTTGATAGTTAATCCAAGAAGAATGAAGTCCTTGACAACTTCAGTCTTTTCTCCATTGACAAAAAAATCCAGTGGTTAGGATTTTTGTTTTCTTTACATTGAGATGCAATCCATACTGAAGGCTGTGCTCTTTGATCTTAATCAGTAAATATTTTAAATCCTCTTCGCTTTCAGCAAGCAAGGTTGTATCATCTGCATATCGCAGGTTGTTAATGAGTCTTCCTCCAATCCTGATGCCACGTTTTTCTTCATATAACCCAGCTTCTCGGATTATTTGCACAGCATACAAGTTGAATAAGTATGGTGAAAGAATACAACCCTGTGGCACACCTTTCTTAATTTTAAACCATCCAGTGTTTCCGTATTCTCTTTGAACAACTAACTTCCTCATGAGCACAATTAAGTGTTCAGGAATACTCATACTTCGCAATGTTGTCCATAGCTTGTCATGATCCACACAATTGAAAGCCTGGAGATCACATGATAGAATTCTGCAAAATCAGTGAATTGTTCATTCCAAATACCTTCTGTATTTTGTGTAGTCAATAAAGCACAGGTAAACATCTTTCTGGTATTCTCTGCTTTCAGCTAAGATCCATCGGACATCAGCAATGATATCCCTCGTTCCACAGCCTCTTCTGAATTTGGCCTGAACCTCTGGAAGTTCTCTGTCAATGTTTGATTGTAGCCATTTCTGTATTACCATTAGTAAAACTTTACTTGCATGGGATATCAAAGAGGTTGTCTGATGATTTCTGCATTCCGTTGGGTGACCTCTCTTGGGAATGGGCACAAATATGGATCTTTTCCCATCAGTCAGCCAGATAGTTGTCTTCCTAATTTCTTGGCATAGATGAATGAGTGCCTCCAGTGCCACATCACTTTCTTGAAAGATTTCAATTTTTATTCCATCAATTCCTGAAGACTTCTTCTTTGCCAATTCCTTCAAGGCACCTTGGACTTCTTCCTTCAGTATCATTGGCTCTTGATCATATGCTACCTCTTGAAATGGTTGAACATCAACCATTTCCTTTTGGTACAGTGACTCTGTGCATTCTTTCCATCTTCTTTTGATGCTTTCTGCATCATTCAATAATTTGCCCAGAGAATCGTTCAATAATGAACGTTGAGGCTTGACTTTTTTCTTTAGTTCCCCCAGCTTGAGAAATGTTGCGTGTGTTCTTCCTTTTTGGTTTTCTGATTCCAAATCTTTGCACATTTTGTTGTAATATTTGACTTTGTCTTCTTGAGCTTGAAAATTTCTGTTCAGCTCTTGTACCTCCTCATTTCTTCCATTTGCTTTAGCATCTCTAAGCTGGAGAGCAAGTTTCAGTGTCTCTTCTGGTGAGGTCCATGTGTATAATTATCTCTTATGCTGTCTAAAGAAGGTATTTGAAATGAACAATTCACTGATTTTGCAGAATTCTATCATGCGTTCTCCAGCATCATTTCTATCACCAAGGCCGTATTTTCCAACTACTTTGTTCCTCTTTGTTCCCAACCTTTGCATTCCAATCACCAGTAATAATCACTACATCTTGATTGCATGTTTGATCAATTTCAGATTGAAGAAGTTGGTAGAATTCTTCTATTTCATCCTCACTGGCTTTAGTGGTTGGTGCATAAATTTGAATAATAGTGGTATTAACTGGTCTTCCCTGTAGGTGCAGGGGTATTATCCTATCACAGACAGCATTGTACCTCATGACTGATCTGGATATGTTCTTTTTGACAACCAATAGTAATACAGGCTATAAAAATACTGCATCCATTTCTACATAGGACAGTCGCTACTTCCTTTGAGTTTTTCAGCCTACAGTTCAGCTATGTTATTGTAGCTTCCTTGTTGTTAAGTGCCTTGGAGCTGGTTTCCGCCCATAGTGACCCTGCACAGGGTTTCCAAGGAGCATCTAGTGGATTTGAACCACAAACCTTGTGGTTAGCAGACCAGTGCTTATCCAACAGTGCCATACCAGGACTCTGTTGTTTCATTGGTATAAAACAATATAGAAGTTAGCAAGAGTTAACTCTATGTAATTAGTGTAAATCAAGGATTATTGGATATAGGTTCTTTTTATTTCATTTTATTTTGGTGAAATATACATGACATAATATACACCCATTCAACATTTTGTGCATGTACGGTTCAATGACATTGGCTACATTCTTTGCATTGTGTCACCGTTCTCATTCTTTCTACCCCTATGGTTTCACCATCATCAATTTAGACTTCCTACCCTCTAAACATCTCCTCTTTTTTAAAGTTACTGTTGTCAAGGTGATTTCATATCAATAATTCTTGAAAAGAGGGCATTGCTTAAAGTGAACATTCTTTACTAGATGAGTTAGTGTTGTTTAGTTTAAAGATGGTTTCATGAGATAATTTCAGTTCAAGGCTGAATGATTATCTCAGGGCAATAGATTCAATAGTTCCCTCAGTCCCAATGGATCCAGTAGGTCAGGTTTCTGTAAGAATATGAAATCTGTTCCACATTTTGGAAATGGGCTCTTTTGAAGCAATGAGCTCCCTGTCTCTGAAAGTGGCAAACTAAAGCTGACTTTTGCAAAGATACTGTGGAGGAGATTCTTGCCCTGCTTGGAGGACGCTTTCAGCTCTGAGATTCTCTGAAAATCAGAGGTAGATCCAGAGAATTGCCTTTGGGTTGTCAAAGAGCAAGGGATTTCAACATATTGACCAGTGAGGCACTGAGATTTTCAGGAGTATGTGTATTTTCCTGGGCCAAAGATCCCTGGCTTTGACCAAATACTCAAGAGTTGAGAAGCATTGATATGGATTATTCTTTCATCAAGTCTTAACCACAAGGTGTCATGTTCCAGGAGTCAAAACCAGAGTGGAGTGCCCAAGGTGCCCCCTTAACCAGGGCAAGAAAGTCATTGGCGATCTGGTCGAGTATGTGGGGGGCCATAGGATAAGCACACATGCACACACTGAGCAACTAATGAGGATACAGAGTTTCATTAGCAAAGTTAAAGTACACTTGAAGAGGATCAAGTGGATCTGCTCTCTTAGCAAAAGGAGGAAGAACAGACTTGTAACAATGGGCAGTCTAGTTGTATTTATGTGGTATTCAGGCTGTTTCCGTATTGGATGCCTCCGAGGATGGCACCTTGCTTCAAAAGCTGGCTATCAGTTGGTGGGCCAGCATGGAGACAGGTGGTTGGCTGCTACCCCATTTCAAAGCAGGAATGTTCAGCTATCCTCCTTCCTGTAACCTAACATTCCCCCCTGAAAGAGACATGAACCTATAAGGACAAGGATCATCTGAATGGGGCATTGTCCTGCCTGCTCAAAGGGCTGCCTGCACCTCTCCTAAACTTCTCTTGGGAAGGAGGTGACTCTTGGTCAATGGTGTTGAAGGATGGGTTGATATCTATGCAAAATCATCATCTTGGCATGAAATTGCTAGAGCCTAGAAGATACAAATTTAAGAAGCAGGTTAAACATGCAAGGCTCAAACACACATAAGGCTATTATTGCTAGCAACAGTTCTATTAAGTACCTTTTCCACAGGAACCAAGACTTAAACTATTCCGGCCTGGATTCCTCTTGGTTCTTAGCATAAACTTTAGGGTGGGTCCAATCAACACAAAAGAATTCATGCCTCTGAATTGTGGTGTTGGAGGAGAATACTGAAAGTGTCATGGACTGCCAAAAGAACCAATAGATCTGTTTTGGAAGAAGTGAAGCCAGAGTCCTCCTTTGAGGCCAGGATGGCTAAACTTCATCTCTCATACTTTGGACATATTGTCAGGAGGGAACAGTCCCTGGAGAAGGATATCATGCTTGGTAAGATAGAGGATCAGAGAAAAAGAAGACCCCCAGCAGCATTGATGGACTCAAGTGTGGCAGCGGTAGTGAGGTTGGCCCAGGATCGGACATTGTTTCGTTCTGCTGTGTGTGCATGGGGTCGCTATGAGTCAGTTCCAACACAATGGCACCTGACAACGACAACAACAATCAGCCCAGTATTTATAAGTTTTAAGCTGGTTTCCACTTGGTGGGAGGTATTTATCACCATACAGGCAGTATTTGCAACAGCACACACTCCGCCTTGTCTGGTCAAAATAAAGTGTAAGGCTTTTTGGTGGCCTAAAACTTGTCCTGCTAATGACAACAGGGATGTCTGTTGGGCCTGCATGGTGTTTCTGGTGGCATTGGCTAGTAAATGTA